CCTTTGAAGACACTCCCTTTTCCAGGTGGACCAGCAATTTCTGGCAAAGTAGAAGGGCGGAAACTGGAGTGTCGGAAGGGATTGGAGGGCAGTTGAAGTAGGGAGGGGGGAGTACAAACAGAAATTTCTTGTAGCGGGGAATATCGTTTTATCGGTGGAACATTGGCTCGAGGATCTTGGAGATCCTGCGATTCCACGATCGCATGCTCCACAAAACATTCTCCTTATAAAACAAAACTTCAGAATTCGAGGACCGCAACGTTTCAAATGCAATACAGCTTACTTCAATTCTTTACATTAAATAGCTACGAATATTTTGCGATCAACGTTAATAATAAAATCTTACATACAAAAGAGGACCATAGAAATATTCAATGAACTAACCTTGCTTTGTGACTGCAATGAGGTATCAGAATTAATATGCATGAAGGTCTTTCAATTCCCAGAAGCTCCTGATTTTAATAAATTTATAAAGAAGTTCAATAGAGTATGGAATCGTTGAAAAATTAAATTTCCCGGAAGCTTGATTAAAAAGCATAAAAAGTATCTACCTACTCGCCGCTCGCGAAATCTTCCGGCCCGTATTCTACTTTTAATTAAAACCTCGCATCGCATTTCACCGACACACGTTCCTTCCATTCTCGTTATTTCGTTCGACGATATTTAAACCAAATACCCGGGGCCACGCGGTGCCCCGGCTGGAAACAAAGTCGACGTAAACGGCTATTTATCTGGCCGCCTTTCGCGGAATCTGCGCGCAGTGTACGGCGCGATACTCATTTTTCAGAGCACCAAAGGGGGGAGATTTTCCTTATCGTGCCCGGGCAGACATCCGCTGAGGAGCTGAGAGAGGAGGGGGAGGGGCAACGTCGAATCCGCGCGCGCACGATCATCCACGATATCTCGCGTGAACGTATAAAGCAATTATTTATGATAAAGGATTGATAATAAATTTTAATCCGAAGTATAAATACATTTCTGAAAGGCCAACTGAATTGAAGTGCGTGGAATTTCATTTTAACAAATGCATTTGACAATATTCTTTGAAAAAACCTCGATAGTCTTTAGGGATTTTACTAGGAATCCTTTAACGGGCCCTAATGCATTCAGATGTGCACAAGATGTCTTCAAAGATCCTTCAACGGACATACCATTATAATAATACATCTCGGAGAACACATTAGCTCAAATTTTCTAACTGGAACATCCAGCCAGCCATAACAGACTATAATCAGTCGCGAATTCAACCCCCAATGTTTCTCCTCGTACGTAATAATTGTAAAAGTTACAGACTTCCCCACTCGGGCAGTTCGTTAAAAACCAGGAAGTATCTCGATACACACTGTGGAGCCCTTAATTAAAATCTACCATAATCCTATTCAGTAAATTTCGTTCACAACCATACTTTGAGGGAAAATTCTCCCGATTTCAGATTCTCCAGTATCCAGACTTTCAGCTCTCCCCCCACCCAGACACACCCTGGTAAAGCGCCGACTCACCGAGCACTCTCGGTGACTTGTCGGTGAAATTCGAAACAGTGGAGAATATTTCGCATATCGACGCATACCTCGCGCTCGAACGACTCACGTTCACGGACGCGCGACTGACACAGAGGAATTCTTATTCCCCCACTGGGTTTCCGCGCGACTAGCATTCTTCCGCGGTGGCAAACGTCCCGGAAACGCGCGAACGGCACCTACATCCTCCCCCGCGTACGAGTGTCACGGCCTTTAACTCGCTTAGGCATCGTCGCGTCGAACGGAAGACAATGGAACGAGGGAAGGAGGCAAGGCTCTTCGAGTCTCAGCGGAATATAAAATCTGGCAGTGGAGAACGAGCGGGAAAGAAAACGGCTAGACGACTGTAGCGATCTATCGGTCGATCTGTTCCCGTTTCAGTTCTCACACTCTGGTAGAAACAAACGGATTCTCAGTTCGTTCAATAGTGCGCACAAGGGTAGAATCTGATAATTGGACTGCGGAAGTTTATGCAGATTCACAATTTCAAATATATTAAATAGGTTAATATATTAATAATGGAATGTATTAAATAACTACGAAACAATGAATTCATATAAATAAATTACCGTCAGTGCCATTTCTTTGGTAAATAATTACCGGCTTGAGGGGTTGTATCTTTCATCTTTATTGCATTTTCCAAGTTAAGAGGTGCTATAAATGCATAAACATCCGCCAGTCTACAGTGATAACGGTCGAAACGCGGCGGATCCACGGTCGTTCTCGAAATTCACGAAACAATTAGCGAAATTCCCATCGACCGCGACGCGATCGGAGCAGCTGAAACCGAGCCAGCGCGGCGGAAACGAGTCGACCGAGTTGCGTAAACGCGAACCCCCCGCTGCCCCCGTGCGCTCCCGTCGAAACGATTTTAATTAAAAGCTAATTATCGTTGGATTCGTAGAATATCGTCGCGCTCGTTAAACCGCGCGCGACCCCGAACGGAAAACAGAGATCGCCCGGACGTACGCGAGAAATCGCGTTGTTATTAACTTGCTGCACCCGCGACATAATTTCTATTTGTAACAACGGCGTGCGTGCTACTGCAACGTGCACACGGGAGGCCACGTGTGCGTCCTGGCACGTGGAATCAGTCGTGTGTAAGTCGTTCGCTCCCTCATACCCACGACAACCCTTTAGCAAGTTTCTTAAAAATGGACCAACGTTGCTCTGAAAACCATAGGCTTAGACTTCTATTTTTAGGGGAAAAAATAGAAAATTCTAAGCTCTGAAAGGAAAAAATTAGGAGATTTATGGTATTATTAACTGTAGGGGATGATCGAGGTGGAGATGTATTATCATAGTAAACTCCTCAGCACTAAGAAGGAAAGGTCCTCAGGTGTAACCCTGACATTTTTAACGAGGTTTAGCACATTGATAGAGTTTGGAATTTTGAAGTGCCGAGGAGCCTTCGGACACTCATCGAGGATTTACGGTATTCGGATAATACGTCGGAGAATTCGTTTTTAAGGACGCTTACATTTTATTCCGTAAAAATTAAAAACTTCTAGACGCGCTTACAGCTACCTATACGCATACTTCAGGCTTCCGGTATCTGTAAACTACGTAACATCGGCATACATACTCGGTATGTACAGTCCTCGAGACGGTGGCTCTCGAGAGTTTCTAGGGCGAACACCGTTCTCTCAATGGACGCTTATCGTTTCGAACTGAACGAGTTCCCCGTTGTATCTACAAAGCGGTCGTGTCTCTACCTCTCCCGAGTCGCTGTTAGAACTGTTGCGTTACGATTATCGCGATAGCATGATAAAGTAATGTCGAGCGGGCGGGCTATCCTTTATAGCTACTGTCGATGGCGGCTTATCGTATCTAATATAATACACTTAATGCACAGCGGAATAACCAAATTCTTCCACCCGACGATACGATATATATATGAAACGATCTTGGAATAATGTCCATGACACAATGTTGATCTTTTGTCATTTCTTTTAATCGAGCCCACAAGTCGATCGAAACGTGACAAATCTGGGGGTGGATATCTTTTGGTTATTAGACCGTGTCGTAGCGACAGATTCCTTTCTAGAAATTGGCACTAAGAATTCAAAGATAGTCGAAAGAATACTGTTGGTAAATATCGTTTAACCTCCTCGAGCTCCGCCTCGTCGTCCAGGCCGATCTTCGAAACGGTTCCCGGGGGATCCTCGAGCCCATCTCTCAATCTCATTCTCTACAACTTTCTTCTCAGACGCAATAAGGTTACCTTTAATGCCTCCTCCGAGAACGTCGGAAAATATTCCGTTTATACACTCCGCTCCAGTCCCGAGAAGAAAAAGGAGAAACGATCCCCTTTCCCCCCTCGCCTGAAACTTGACGGTCTGGCGGCTGGTCCGGCTCGATGAAATCCGTGGAACGAGTTACACTATACACGTTAAATCTACATGTATACGACGGTTAAGAGATACTGGAGGCTTTCACGGCCCGGTGTCTTATAATTCGTAGCGTTCAAGACTTCTGGATGTAAATTGGGTTCTTCTGGATCCGTTTAGGGTCTCATGATACAAACATGTTGATCTTGGATTTCATTCCCATTATTTGTTTACAGATATTTGAATTCTTATTGGTTGTTATCGATCCAGAATCAAGGATTTAATTGATCGATTAAAAAAATGGTCTACTTTGCAATTGGTCCAGTAACACATATGAAAGTCTTAATTGTACTAGGTGTACCAATGAGTAGTCCACTATTTTTGATAAGTACCTATCCTATTTTACCAATATTAAAGATATTGCTACGATATTGAAACTAGAGTGAACTAGTTATTGGTACACCTAATGATTCAATTAAAATCTACAGTAAGTTATAAAAAATAATTGAGGAAACTCGACAACAAAACGTTTAACACAGTAAGAATTCTTCTATTTCAGGTGACGGTTACCGTGTCGATTAATAATTTTCTGTGACCCTCGACCACTCACGGAAGGGCAGAATATACTCCCGGAAGTCTTGAACGCTATCAACGTGTACACGGTCGTACGTCTCCGGTTTGCGATGCAAGCCGTGTCTGGGCTCGGCGGTATTTAACGGCTAACATGCTTACTAATTCGTGGGAATGGATAGTGGTGGAAAAGCGGCGGAACCTGTGCGGCAGCGTCTCAAACGAGCGATAAGCACCGGTGTAGTGACTTCCGCGTTAAACTCGCTTAACGGCCGGTGTAATTAATTAAAGGACGAAGTTCAGTGTCCTGAGAAGCCCTTGAGCCACTTTAATCCTGGTTACCCACACCCCACAGCTTTTCGTTTTCTTCTTTTTGTCGTTAAGCTATTCACGGAGAATCTTCGACAGTCCACGTTCCGAATTTAATGCCACCTTCGAAGATTGAATTTTCAATGGATTTTTAATTTCATGGTCACTGAGATCCTCGGCCGTCATAGCGAGAAAATTTCGTTAAAACACTCATTCCCCACGCGCGAACGAGATGAACGGAATATAGCGAGCCAACAGGAAATAAATAACGCGTTCAAACGTTGATATTACAGGGCTTCAGCTCCATGAACTGATAGGGTACATGCAACGTGGTGTTGTTGTGCTCCACCAAGAGGTGACCTCGCCTGGGGGACGCCCCCACGACCAGAACTGTTTCACCCTTTAGCAGGACCACCTCCCCTTCGCCCTCTTCTGAAAGAACAACAATTTCGTGCGTATTGGGAATTCGGGAATCTCCCGATACAGAATCTGTTCATGACGAGAAATCTACAACCCTAAACCCATTGTCATACCTTAGAAAATTTAAAGAGTTTGTTACAATTTCTAATACCACTGTGGAAAATGAAAGAGTCTGTTGCAATACTTCTAATGCCACTATAAAAAGCTGTGTTACCACTGATAAGAATATTAGCTTGTGATGACTGACTAAACAACAGTAGATTTGATGCCGTTCATCCACCAACAAGACTACACTCGGAAACTTTCACGAAAGAGACCGTGAGTTCCGTCCCCGTGTAGGATACAACAAGAGCGGAAAGAAGAAGTTCTTTAAAAAAAAAAAAAGGAGGAGAAACACAGACATCCAGTTTTAAACAAGAACATCCAATGGCTCTTACCTGGGAAAGGCATCTTCATGATCCTCGTCTGCGGGTAGCCCAATTTCGTGTTGCCTGTCACGGTGTAACTCCTGCTGGGCGGGACAGGGGGCGGTCGTTCCTGCGAACAAAGTTTCAAAGACTTTCCTCTACCGTCTCGACGACGAACGCAAGTTGAGGCGGAGAACTCAACGGAGGAATCGGAGGGAGAGAAGGATATCACGAGAGGCAACGCGCTTACCAGATCCAGCCCAAAGAGGGTGCACGTTTGCTGGATCATCTTCTGATCCGCGCACTTCTCCGAGGGATCGGGAGGCGGTGTGCCAGAGATCGGCTGTGGCCTAGGTCGTGTTCCGGTCCCTGTACCTGTCCCGGTCGTCACGTTCCTCTGAACGGTTCCGGTGTTGGTCGACGTCGGCTGTTGAGGCTTCTTCGGACCGATCACGGAAGACACACCTATCGTGGTCTTCCGGATCGGCCACCTTCTACGCACCCTCCAACCTCTCCAGGTGGCCTAATCGTGTACAAGGAAATAAACAGGTGTCACGATACTGGAGTTAAATTGTCTATCACTTTTGGATGTTAATTAGTTTGCTATTTGTAAGAGAATAATTTTCCTGAGGCTGCTAAGAATAACGTAACGAAACCTTGGATGGATTTAAATGAATTAAACAATTAATTGACCGATCAAGTGATTTTTTAACCAGAAATTAACTCACCTGTATCGCAGTCGCGGCCCTTCTCCTCGTCTCCGACCTCAGATTCTCAAGCTGCTGCCTAATGCCTTCGCTCAAGAAGATATGCCTCTTGCCCAACGCCCAGCTGGTACTCGCGCCGAATTTGCTCTTCAGCTGTTGAGCATTCTGTAGAATGAGCTTTGTGTCCTCGACGGCCTGTTCCTCCGCCCGACGCAGCTGCTTGAAAGGCGCAATCAGCCTGTACCTCGCGTTGAACGCCTTGAACCGCATTCGGTGGGGATATCCTGCGATTATAAAATCATTAGAAGAGTAGGTCTCCAACTACCCTGTACAATGTCGTTTCGTGGTCGAAGTCAATGTACAGCCTCGATCTAGATAACACGGTAGTCACTGTGAACAATAGCAAACGATAGAGTCACGAATAATTCATAGTCGAGAGACCCGCCCCTTTAATCTCAGCTCGAAATCCCCGTGTTCCTAACTCCCCCGTCCCCGTCTCTCTGTCAGATCAGATCGAGTACTACACGCTGTAGCACGAATTATCGAGTGACTTTGTATTTCTAATCGATCCCACCCCGATGAAGATCTCAACCCAAAGACATTCCGAATGGGTAGGGTAGCAGACGGCGAACGTCTAAAGTCGTTCGGATGCCTGAGCGTTGGAAATTGAACGTCGGTAGTAGTTTCACGACGTACCGCCGGCCATTAGATTCACTGTCTCCAGAACTTGAAGGGATCGTATCTGACGCATAGTCACGCCCCTGTCTAGATGCAGCGGCGTTTCTGTCCCGTTGCTTCTAATGCACCTGACAAAGTGCGGCCTCGCGTGGACGAGAGTTCTCAGGAGATTATCCAGCCTCGTGTGGAAATCCTGCGTCAACGTGGAGATCGGCTCGTCCCCGTTCAAACTAAAACCACAAGACAGACACACGGGCCGATTTCGATGGTGCTGCAGTGCTTATAATCGTGGATAGAACCCGGAATTTCAACTCGAGGCAGAGAGAATAGATGGTGGTGTGTTCTTACAGGTCGGTGTGAGAGGTCGGCGATATCCGGAAGCTGACACCCCGGGGCACCGTGTCGCTCGCGTACAAAGCTTTCAGTTCGCTGCCGAACAAGTGGGTCGCGAAACCAAAGCTGCAGGTGTGCTTGTAGAACACCGCCACCAGGTCGTCGGGCACCACGTCCTTGTTCGTATCTTTGAGGGGGAGGAGAAAAGTTACCCTTGTATTTCGCCGATGGAGCATATAGTCTAGGTAAGGGGCTGCAGAGCTTTAGGATCAACGAATCTTGGGGGGATCTGTATACATATATCTCTGTGATTCTCCAAATGATCTTGCACTATGATTGGATCTGACTACGCGTGAAATTCAAAATAGTTTACATTTGATTTCTACAGAGAGTTCAAGAGAAAGGATGAAGAAACTTCCGACGAAGTTGAATTTTACTTTTCAATTCTGAATACAGGGAGACTAGGGACTCTGATAGACTTGGTCCTGATTTCTACTGACTGCAAGGGGAAAGGATTTTTGGCTAGACACGCACCCAGGAAATCCGACGCGTCGTAAGTTACTCTACCGGCGAAGTGCTGGATCCCGAAGGATCTACAGTCGACGGTCCTAGGCTCGAAAAGCCGGGGATTCTGTTTGTGCTGGACTTTCACTTTAGCCACGTAGCTCTCAGCCGTGCCGCGAATGGAACACTCAACGTCCAACATGCTCAGCAATCCGGTACGCTGCGGACGAAACGACGGTACACATTCGGCAGAAAGCAACCTGCGGTCGACACGAACAGAGGTTCAGAGTTATCGTACTCACCAGGGAGGAGATGAGATCGATGCACGGCACATTGTCGACGTAGTCAACCTCCACGTCGCAACGGATACCCTCGTCGCGGCAGCTCTCAATGGAACTCTTGAATATGTGGGTATTGTAGAAGTGTTGCATCGTCTCCGCGCAGAGATTGATACACAGGTGCTCGAGCTGGCTGGGCTTTGGGTCCTCGAAGCCGAACATGTCTAGGATTCCTATGAATCCGTCGGTGGCGTGTCGCACGGCGTTGTTTAGGGCTGTCATGCTTCTGGAACCGGTACCACCTGGACACAGACATGAATCATCGAAACTGGTGGGTAGCAGAATGAACGTAAGAGATTAGATTAAGTTCCATGATAGTTGATAACAATGTTCAATTTGCTTTTTACTTCCGAGGGTGGAATTGAGTTTCCTCAGGGCTAATCAATGCTTCTGGTCCGATCCAGAAACATTCTACCTCTACAATATTTCTACAGTATTCGTATAAGTCTGCTGGTAGCTAATAGCCCCTAAATCCTTTCTTGAAAAATATTAACCAATCCAATTTTCAGACATTCAAACAAGAAACAACGTCTGTCACTTCTGCTGACCATTAACGTACGATGGTCAGCTACCTTCCATGATCCCTCACTAACCTGCAGAGCTACCAATGGTCGACGCGTGCTGGCTAGTAACCTCGGCCTGATTGTGAACCGACTCGTTCGAGTCCGACGAGAGCGTGCCAAGGGTGGAGCCCAATCTCTTCAGACTGTTCGCTCTCCTGACGATGGTGGCCACGGTGCGGCAGTAGAGCGCTTTCGCCAGCGAGTCCCTGGTCATGTTAGACTGCGTAAACAAACACCGTTCAGCATGGTTCGGCCCCGACTAGACGGTGATTAGGTCAGATCACTCGCGAAATCGCACAGTTACACAGTACCATATTCGCGTCGCAGACCGACTTGACCAGCTGTCCGCGAGCGTTATGGGTCCTGGACGTAAGACCTCGAAGCAGGGCCGGCGGGGGGACACCCAGAAGAGCAGCTACGCTGGCCAGCTCGTTCTCGCCTATCACCCCCACCTCCACGCCTGGACGATCCGTGAAGCCCACGTTCCCGAGGATCAGAACCGCTGCCAGGACCCTAACCACGTCTAGAAAGGGTATACCTAGCACACCTGGAGAGAAAATTATGAAAGTCCGATTATCTAATAGTCTGTGTTGAAACATCTATGTATAATTGATTTAAGATTGATCACTTGCGATGAATGATGTTGAAAGGTCTCTCCTAGAGATTAATATAAACGAGGCTGAAGTGCTCACCTAAACAGGCCTTCCACGCCTGAAACCTGATGGCATCCTCGGCTTCGTCTTGCCTAGTGTCCCCGTGCTGAAGATACCTTAGGTTCTTCAAGTTGTAACCCTCCAAATTAAGTTTCACTATTGAGCAAGACACAACGGAATCAGGTTCACTCTCAAATTGAATAAACAATTACAGTATGTTACTGACTCTTGCTAGAGTCTCCTAAGAGTCTTGATCTCTACCTCTTTCCTCGTGGGAGAGGCCAGCCAACATTTGGTAAAATATGTGATAGTTCTTCTCATCTGGCAAGGGCCTGATCACTCGCGTCTGGTCCAAGAAATAACAATGTATCTTCGTTCTGTACAGAGCACCGTCCGTCACCTGGACCTCGATAAAGTGACCCTGAGGAAACATCCAATTTCTTGGTTTCTCACTAAAAATAGCTATTATCGAATCATAAATTGCCACGTACTATCCTAGAACTCTCCGAATTGGTGGCAGTCTTCGCGGATCCTAGAGACCTGAGTACGGTGAACGCAGCGGCCAGGTGTTTGAAGGCGTCGGTCTCGGGTCCACCGCCAGCAACGTCGAACAATTGCCTAAGTAACAGCATAGAGGCGTACGTTTTCCCAGAGCCGCTCGTCCCTGTGGATGAACGTACAAAATGTTCAACTCGCGCAGTTCAGACACATAGAAACGACGTTGAAAGACGTCGACTGTGTTTACCAGAAAGAATTATCGCCTGGGGGTAGCCGGTCTCCGATTGTTGTCGCACCGCTTCCTGGACGACTTTGTTCAGCTGGGGGGCCAAAGGTACAGCCCTGGTGCTCGTTAAGGTCAATGGATTCCCGACGTCCGTATAAGGATTGATACAGACCAGAATCGGGCCCACGTTCGTCTGAAATGCGCATTCCCATTATCCAGGCGTCTGATTATCAATTTTGCGTTCGGGACGTTCTACGAAATTCATGAGATACAGATGACAGGAATGGGGGGGGGGAAGGGTAATACACGGGAAGAACCTTCTTGTTCCATCGGGAATGTCATTCTTGTCGGTTGTCTGTCAAACCTGGTTCCCTCTCGGGACAAGTATACATATAGAGAGTAGAAAGTGTTTGGGAAGATTAGTCATGGGTCGCCCTGTTGTCATGTTAATCGTATCAACTTGACAACCGTTTCGAATATACGAGGGATAGTCGGAGTATCAGCTAGAGAGTCTATTTTCCTAAACAAGGAAAAGGGTATCCAGTTAGTTCCTCTTATTTAGAAAATTTGTTTCCTGAAGAAGTCAAGCACTCAGCTGTTAATGCAGAACAACGTCCACCAAGAACGAAAAATTAATCTATTGGCTAATGTTGCAACGCAGAAATCAAAGCCAATCCCCGGATAAACGTTCCCGAGGAGTAATCTCGCGAGCTGATATTTCACTTTGCGCCGTCCGCATGACCGCAGCTTCCTCGAATAATATCCCTGGAGGAGAATGAAAGGAGCGTCGGAGACTTAGAAATCGGGACAGTTAGGGCGAGGAAGCGAACGGGAAGAGGGGGGAATGGATGGGCGAAGGAGAGGACGAGGGAGGCAAAGAGCGCAGGGTGGTGCAACAGGCTACGGAGCGGCGAGGCTTTGGCGGGCCTTGGTACCTATTAGAAGCCCACCTAGAGAAAGCAACACGCCGGAGGACGAACAAAAAGGTGAAAAACGCCCGGACAGCCGAGTGGGGAGGGAAAGAACCGGTCCCAAGACAGGGCCCGTGGCTAGCGATGGGCGCTTGAGACTCTCTGCTCCGAGCTTTCGAGCAACTGGGTCGTGCAATCATACGATCTCGCGTTTCTTAGTGGTGGGATCAATTTTCCAAACAATATTCATTTCATGTCATTTAAAATTTCTGTTTGACAGTTCTTGACACTGTTGGTTTATAAATTAAAATGGCAAGTGTACTAAACTTCACTTCATCAATCTTGGAATAATATCCTGAATAATAATTGTATGGTATTCTTCTCCGAGGAGCCTTCGAACATTGATCGAAAATATACTTGCCTGATAGTATACTTGATAAATCATTCTCTGCAAATCACGATACAAAGCAACATATCGTGTTTATACTATTTTCCCCGCGAATCATATCAAACCCATCGCTACTCACAAGCCACCTAACTCGTCAGAGAAGGAGGAAGAGAAACAGGAGACGGTGAACGGACAGAGAGACGAGAAAAGGTCGGAACAAAAAGAAATACAAGAAGGGAGAACACAGAGAACGAGAAGGAAGAGAAAGAAACAGGAATAAACTTGACGTAGGAAAAACACGGACACAGGAGATCGAGAACATGATCTACGCATTTGCCCGTATCTAAAGATCAGCCAGGATCGGACCCTCTATACCCGGAAGGTGGAGCTGTAACTCAATCGTGAAAGTGCGAAGGCCCAATTAAACCGAGGAATTACGATTTCCTGTATGAATCCCCCTTCCCTTGAGCCGATTCCACGCCTAATCGTTCCGCGCGCTGAATAATATAGCGATTCTAATCGAATCGATGCCCGGGTTTCCTTTAGAAACCTCTTCTCCCGCTCTGCGGCAAGGGGGGAGGCACTTTCCCTTCCTCTCTCTACCTATCGGATGGTGTGCCTCATTAAAACCTCGGAAAATACCGTCGAGGATGCTCTCTCTGTAACGGGCATCCTCGTCGACGACTAATTGCTCGAACCGGTTCAAGGACGGAAACGAGGCCCCTTTTGGCGTCCATCGGGTGGAGGGGTGGGGGGATGTTCGCGCGGCGATCCAATCAAGAAGCATGATATCTGTCCGCGGTCACCGATTTTAGAGTCTATCGACTTTTTCACCCGCGGCGTTCCCTTTCTTTTCGACCCCCCACCCCCAGTTTCCCCTCGTTTAAACGACCTATTGAGAAATCTCCCCGATTTCACCGCCGACTCTGCTTCACGATATCTTTCTCTCTCTCTCTCTTTCTCTCATCTCTTATGCACGTGTGCAAGAGGGAGAAGATTTTCGCAGCATCGACGAAGGGGCCTCGTTAAGCCCCGACAACCGAACGAAAGACGAACACTGGTAATCGATCCGGGGCAAGCGGAAGAGTAGACCTAGGGACCACGGAGGGGTCTAGATCGAACCTGACAGAACGGCGTCATTTCTCGAGATTTCGTTATTGCTGAAGGATTCACGACAGGGTAGAAGAAGTACAAATTTTATGGAAGCATACGAAAGATTGGTGGAATTGAGATCGTAGCCCTTCTCGGTCGAATTGCCCAACGAAAAGGAGAGCCCGATGAAGTGCTCTCTCCACCAGAGGAGCGGAAAAAAAAGAGGCACGCGTTAAGGAATGCCGGGGAGAGAAATTAAAACACGGAGCACGATAATGGAATGCGAGCGTGCCAGCTGCGCGTGCTACGACGCTCACCGAGCCGAGACAGGGTGAATTCTTAATAGGGGACGCGCGCGCGCGCCCGAAGGAAGATATCGCGGTGGTAACAAGAGAGTGGAGAGAGAATAAGGGAGAGAATCGTATTAGCCTGTAACCTATGAAATGCTCGGTTTCTTGATGAACGAGGAGTAAGCTTCGAGTGTGACACGATTTAATATTGCCTATAATATATACCCGTAATAACTAGGGTGGCCCATTATTAATAATTAGACTATAGATTTTATGCATTTATCGTAAATGTGAATATGCAAAACACGAGAAAGTAAAAGATTTTCAACCTTTAATAGAGGAAAAATTATATTCAGCGAATGCATATCAAAACATAATATAATCTCTCCTCAGATTAAATCCCATAGTGATATACTACTATATAGGATTCCATTAACCTGTCTGTCCACCTCGTGCAGTTTCTACTTCGACTAACCACGACCGACAGCACATCAGATCAATTTTCTAGACTATCGTCATACTTTTCCTCGACGAATCGAACTTCCCCTGGCGACTGGGTACCACCAATGACGGACCATCTCGTAGAAAAATAAGAATCCTGTCGGAAGTAGTTAAACCAAAAAGCTCTCACACGCTCGTGAAGGCCGTCGAAGTCAAATATCGAGAGAAGAGACTGAGCACGCTCACGGAACCGCCTTAAGAGCCCCGGAATCGTCGCCTAGGTGGATTCCGACGACCAGGAAACGCTTTCAGACTCCATCGGGACAATTCCGCGTACTCGTGAAACTACGGCAGATCGAACGGTTTTCGATCCTCGAGCGTGTCCTCCGTTTGGAATCGCGGAGGCGCATCAATCACCTCGATAGCAACGCGAGCGTGTCGCCGGACGCGGACACGGTAAGTTCGCGGGCTTTCTAATTGAGATGAATGCCCGATTTGCCCCACGACTGCTGGACGAATCGAGATTCTCATGTACGGTACACCCGCGTGGTATTTAGCGAAGACACCTTTCCGTGTGACGTCGACGATATATTACGTCCAGCTTCGACATTCCGATATTTTTTTTCGGCGATACGGTGAGGGAGGCCAACGATCGTACACGTCTGCAGCCACAAAACTGCGAATGGAATGTCTTTGAATTAAAATTGAAATTGATATCCAGAATTGAATTGGTATTGAATTGGCCAATCGGTATCTGACGTATATTTTGGCACATAGGTGTACTGACCTTCTGGATCACGATTTTTAAATATCTAACAGCACTTACGTGATACTGCTTGGCGCAAAATCGAGCCTGGAGACACTTAAGCACGGCATCCTCCGTCAGGGGGCCCGGTAGGTGGATGAGGTCGTCCAAGGCCGTGGAGGTCGTGGGACCGGAGGAGGCTGACGTCCCTTTCGGGGGACATCGATGCTGGCCCTGGTTGCTTTTCGCGTTTTTCACGTCCGCAATGATACTGGAGATCGGTGGAGACCGTAAACAGCCCAGAGCCGTCACGCAGGACACTATACCATCGTCTGGGATCCCATTGTGACGTTTCGGGGAGTCCAAGTCTGCGCAGAAATCCGCGGGAAATATCCCACGTCGACATGTGTAAATATCAGACTAGTGTAAAATAGGATTTTTAATTTTTCCATAATATAATAAAATTTCTCCAGAACAATGAATCATCGCGGCGATAATGGCCAGGAACGGAAGTGAATTCGAACCGAACCACGGAGTAACTGTATATACTCCGCGCTCGATTCAGCAAGCTCGATTAACCAGAAAGTATTCGAGATCAGACGGACTGGATCGCGCGAGTAAACCGCTTTGGCCGGCATCGCAAATATTTTCATTCTCCGTCCAGTCGAAATCACGGATGGGTGAAGGGGAGGACGAATCGATGGATTAAACGTGGGCGAATTTTATTTATTTTCTCCTTTCCTTCTAACTACCGAATGGAAAAAAGCAGCGGACCGACTCTGGCGCCAAAAATGGTAAATAAATCATGAAACGCTTCGAATCCCGGGGAAATAGCCGCCGTTGTGTAAATAGCATGGTGAAACGTTCACCAATTCCGATGATTTTGCGGAGAAATCGCCTCCCTTCCACCCTCCTCTCCCGGTTATTTAAAATATATGATTCCCACGATCGAAAGGGCGCCGTCCCTCTAACGATCGTCGTTTTCAGGAAATGTGCGCGTATCACGAATTAACGCCGCAGTGACGATATTACCGCGGCGTTTAAATATTAACGAACCACCTCCATCCCAGAGTTGGATGAATGCACGCTGTCCCACGTGGACGTACACACGATCCAGAGTCCTCGTTTTAATTCGCGATAATCGCCTCGAAATGCAACGCCGATTAAAACCTTCGCCGAGCTACGTTACAAGCAATTTCTGTATGTGTTATCGAAAGAGAAGGGGGGCGGTAACGATCCGAATATAGAGACTATGATGCAACGACCGACGCCCGGATAATATATTGATGAAGTTGCGAGTTTCCGAGAACAGCTGGATAACGCGTTCTTCCCGACTGAATCATCCAGGTCGTCCGTGTATACATCATTCAAAACATTTAGAGTGTGATCATGAAAAGGGTCTGTATACTCAATCCGACTCATCGAAAATCTGCACTCTCCACTATACACAGATCGTTACCAAATCAATCGAGCACTTTTCGTATTCTCGAGCACTCCTGAGTGACAAGATAGGATTGGAGGGGTGGGGGGCATTGGTCACGAAATCCCCCCGGAGAATGCACAGCACGGAATCATAAACCGACTCGTCTGTATCGGATATACTGACCAGATATTAAATTGTTAGCTGCGGTCGAGTTGTGGCCGAGCGTGTTCGCGCCTGTGTGATTCACGTGCGGATGAACGATCGCGGACGCCGTCAACGTGTGCCCCGAAGGATGACCGAGGCCGTGCGGCAATGTGTTCGCCAACGGCAGCGTGGTCCTGGGCGGTACAGCGGGCGCAGGGGACGACGGCACGCCACCTCCCTTTTCCGGGCTTTTCGACGACGACAGGGGCGCCGCGGTGGCACCATTCGGCCCTGAATTGTTCGCCGGCTGGCTGACGTGCAGCCGGTTCCTCAGGGTCACCAGTTCCGTGCTCAGGCTCCTGAGACGCTGCTGTAGATGCACCGCTTCGTTCGAGGACGAGGCATCTGTAAAAGGCAAAGCAGATTCGTGAGCTCTCCCCGTTGATCCTCGAACGTGGGGATTCCGTGGATCGAAGGTTGTCGAACGGATGATGGTGGGGATCGATGACCTTGAACGGTCGATACTTCCCGCCACTACTCGGAGCGAGGTTGAGGCCCCTCCACCATCAGTCCAGTCCCTTCTTCGCGCCACAATTCGTTTGAGTGTATGACAAAGTAGTATTTAGTAGTATTATATTACTATAGTTAGTAATTCATGTAGACAAAGTAGAGAAATTAGTGGAGAAAGGGGAGGGGGCTCTTGAAATCCGGACCTTACGTTGAATAACGATGACGTGGAAGATTCAGTTATTGAACTTTTACAGACTTAGTCTCATACTTCTGATCAGTAGTGCATGTGAGACATTTTCCCTCGAAAAATGATTCCCACGATTCCCAAGGATTATACAGACACCTCCAACAAATTCCCTTGACCTATTTACACTGTACAACTGTTCGGTCAAAAGGCACTTCACACCCGGAAGTCAGAAACAGCAAACCGTTGAAAAGGATAAACAACGAATAGATTCAGTATAGAAGAGTTGCAAACGGTCAATCAAACGTGGAATATTATTTTATCCCAGAAACAATTACTGGCTGCTTAACATTCATCGACGTTCCACGGTTGTTTCCCCACTCATAACGCGACGGATTAAACGCGGGGAAGTAGTTTAATCAGTAAAATCCACCCAGTCCAACCTTCGAACCGTGTTATCCCCACGTAAAAATTCTCCTCGACGAACTGTTGCCGATGCGAGGCACGGCCCCGTCGAGACCGGGCAAACGAACTCTCGAGCGCACGATAAAAGGGTTATCACGCGTTTCGCGAGCCAGGGCAAACAACGTATCGCAAATTCGGCTGGGCCTCGTTTTCTAAATGAATTATTTCTACCTGGCAGGGGTACGAGAGGGCGAAAGCGTAAATTCCGTTCGGACCACCGATCCTCACCGGACTTTTCGCTACTGTGTGTGTGTGTGTGTGTGCAGCGACTGCATTTTCCAGCGTGTCCACATTATAGGCAATTTAACGAGGGATGGGGGGCGTTAAAGGCCCAGCAAATGTTCAGCGCGGCGTTTCGCTAATAACGGAAAATTACTCGCCGTCGAAGGCCTCTTTCCCCGCGAATCCCGATGAATATTTCAGGGAAATTACCGCGCGACACACAGCGCCATCCTCAAAAACACTCCCCAACCCCGCTCTAATGACGCTGGAGCAATTAGTTATTTATTCGTTCCGCGATCAACGGGATACGATCGAAAACGAGGTTGGAGTACGCTTGGAGGCCACCGGAGAGTATCCGAGAATCGTCCGAGCGAGCGGAAAACTTCGAGGTCGAGTCGTCGTCGTCGGTGGTTTGCGCGCGATTTTATTGCCGGGTGAAGATTTACTGTAGCGTTGTCGTTGCGTGACGGGCACGCGGACGCTAATGGGCCCATTCGCTCGGTCTCTCGCCGTTCTAGCGGTCATTTGCATTGCGTAAATTGCGAGTGGTATAATAGCGCTCCTGAGTCGGAGAAACTGTTCGGGTGGAAGCTTCAAGGTTGTAGAGAAACCTGTAACGACTTAATGAAAGATACAAGACGACCTGTTGAAACGAGGATGAGCCACGAGAAACTATTCATCGATCCCTTCTAGAAAATACGAGGTGTGTCTATTAAATAACGAGACTTGGTTCCCTGTAGGCGATATATTCCTGGTAGCATCGTTTTCGCCTAGTCAAAGTCAAGGTTCGACCAGTTAAATTTTGGCTAATTGAACCAGAAGACCACGCGATCTAAAATATTCCCAGCCGTTTTATCGCGGCCAGAGGCGGTGGAGGGGGATGGCAAGTGGACGGAAGAAAGGGAGGGCAGACAGGGGGAAGAATCGCGAAGGGGGTCGAAGATGAATGAAAACGGTCGATCGTCCATGAATGGCGGAGATGGGGCGCGAGAAAGTAACAGAGTCCACCACGGTGTGTGTTGTTCTCGTGTTGTTTTCGCGCGTGGACGCTCGTAAATTCTTCCTTCCCTGTCAACCGTGCTTGAAAAAAGGGGGATGTAATTATTTCCTACGTAGTAACACTCGGCTTAGACTCGAGTTCCTTCATTCCAGCCACGATTCTCGAAAGAAACCAAGAAGTTTCCCTTGGTGCTCTCCACTCTTTCGTATAAAATTAAAAATGAGGAGGAGGAGAACGGTTGTTCTTTCCAGCCTGTTTGGCCCTGGCGCCGTTCTCGGCCCAAGTTTTGTGGTAAAAAAAAATGAAGCCACGGCTTTCTTCGACGGTTCGAGGAAAAAACAAGGCGACAAGTGGCGCCCCGGTTTCTTGTCCTACTGTGCTTTTCTTCTTGGACGCTGTTGCTCTCTCTTCTCTAACCACCTGCGAGCTTCGCGACGCTCTGTTCTCGACCTCTGCGCGCACCTGTGTACCGTTGATCCGAACTACAATAGCGGAGGGACGAGCGTAAACTCGGGACAGAGGATCCCTCGATCCGTTCAGAGCTCTGTCGCGCGAGAGACAGCTGTGCTATTCTCTTTTCTGACCTCCTGGCGTTAAATCGACAGATGTGTTCTTTTTTGCCTACATCGGCGAAAAAACTCGGGGAACTGTGACGCAGTTGACATTGAGACCTGGTGCAATTCAAGATGATCGGGGACAGTCATTGCTTAAAGACTGTGAAAACCTCTTTACACCACTATACAGCAAATCCACGATGAGCAAGTGCTTCTGTGTGAGATAAGTCGAGAATATAGACGGATTCTGGTAACGGTCGATACACTTGAGTACCATTTTACACCCCACAGGTATAAAGATAGATGGAGGTAAGGAAAGTAATTAGGTTCCACCAATGAATATTCAAGCTTCACAGCACCAGTTAGTATAATGATTAATGTACTCCCTACTGTACGCTGAACTTGTTCAAGAAATAGTTATCGTTAAGCCTGATACTTTCTCACATGGAATGACAGCTACCAAGACTGAATCATCGTCGAAAGGGGGGAGGGGGGCAAAGTCTGCTTTGCAGTTCTGCAGCTGCTTGCCTACAAGGAATTCAATCTACCTATGCCAGTGGTCCCCGCAGGACACCTTCGAACGATACGAATCGCCTCGCCAAGCTGATATCAATCGAAACATTGTCTCGGGGCGCTAGGTTTACTCGGAGTCATGGAGTTCTATCACTGTTTTCCATCTACAGGCCAGGAGAACTCGTCCAGATTAGCGCTGGTCTCGCGTCCGTTTCTCCGCGGAAACTACCGTGTATATACTGGTTTCTAATCAGACCGTTTAAAAAACGAACACGTCCGTTCGGTGGTATGACGACCCGACCTACGCGTATCTGCGTATGTACATACACCCCGTGGACCACGGAACCGGCCGTTCCCTCGTGTCCCATATTCGTGAAACCAGTCGAACTGGTGTGCGCGACCGTTGTTGAAAAGCGCGTTTACGCGGATTCGTTCGCGCGACTCGTACCGTCGTCGATTTTCTGCGGTGGCGAATTTACGACGATATATCGCGATCCCCCTATCCGCTTCCTGGGCAAAAGTTTCCTTGTTCCTGGTGTCTGGAGGACGTTGGTCGAATGTGAAACAGCAACCGACAGTTGTCTTTTAGATCTTTTATATCCCTGACATAGTTCTGATCTCATACCTTACATTTTAGGGCCTGAACTGATCTTTGGGAGTTCAAAAAGGGTTTAAAGTGAGGATGTTTTCAAATATCGAGCTTCAGATCAAACTTAGGACTGGGGTCTTGTGTTTATCGTGTCCATACCGCGTCGATTATCAGACAGACATTATTATTATCGCGTCGAATGCCGAATCGATCCCACGTTTGCAGGATCGGGGGAACGCGGAACACCGAGACAAACCAGTCACGTAAATAACGGCGCGTATGCACGCCGATCCGGCGTTAAATAACATATATTTCCAATTCTCAGAACCGATTACGTAACTAATCTCGCATCCGGAAATCGACATCAAACCAGTTGTGTAGAAGTACGACGTAGAACCCAGGTGAACACAATGAGAAGGTAAAATAAAGGAAAAATTACAGGGGTGGTCGCGGCACTACAGACATCGTACACGGAGAAGACAACCCAAGGGATCGAGGAAAGAAACGAAAGGTAGCGCAGACGGAATACATTAGAATGAAGTCGAAGCCGCGACAAGAGAACGGTGTCACAAAAAGAGGAATTCACCGTGGAAAGACTAAAGATAGCCACGAAACTAAAAGAACGGGAATAAATACAGAGGAGGCCACAGGCAAGGGACACCACCGGAAAGAACAAAAGGGAAGGAAAAGAGGAGAATAAATAAAACGTGGACGACGATAGACCATAGAGAGCCACGAAACCATAGATGGAACTAAACGATCGGGAGACGAAGTAAGAAAGATCGAAAGGTGGAGAGGAAACAAAACCAAAACTTCCACCAGAATAGGAAAGAGTCAGACCAGAATAAGAGACAGAGAGACGAATGGAAGGAAGGGGATCGTATATCACAATGAGGTAAAAGTTTAGTGGCCCATTCTCGGGACACCCAGAAAATGCATCGCGATTCATAAAACCTCGATCGCGGGTGAACACTTTCAATTGCCCGGGCAATCGAAACCCCGGTCGAGTCTGAAAGCGATACGAACGGGTGGGGTCTTTATTCACGGAACCGATGCATTGTTTACCGGCGGAGCTGGGTCGCGTTTTAAGTGGCGCGAGTATCGCGATAAAAACAATTTTTACATCGAGCCACTCCGCTCTCATCGATACTTCGTTCGCGGACGGTAGCATTAATTGAAGTAGATTCACCGATCGAGATGTAAAAAAAAAATATTGCTGCGAAACGCAGGCCCATTGACGCGCGACACAGCCGCGCAATCGGTTGATAGACGAGAGTGGTCGATGTTTTACGAAACGTACACAAAATAAAAATTAGTCGAATTCCGCGGGCAACGCATCGCTGATACGAGCGATCAACCCCGTGATTT